TGTTAAGAAGAGGGAAAGGTCTGGAAAGAGAATGCGGCCCTCATTTTTGGGGTCAGCAAGAAATCCAGGGGGAGTTGTCCGAAGGCCTGTGCAGTGGGGACGGGATGTAAGAAGGAAGGAGGAAAAGGAAGGATGGTAGGACACGCCTGTGGCCATTATTCTCCCAGGAAGAACTCACTGCGGATGGATCAATAACGACACACACACACACACACACCACACACACACACACGCACGCGCACTGTGGGGTAGGTCAATGTCATGTCAAGAGATCTACTGCTCAGTTACCTGTTGTGTTCAACGCATTATCCTGGTGATAGCTCATATTCTTAGGCCAACTCTCACACATTTCAGCTGAGTTTGTCTTCAGGAACTCACACACATCTTTCAATTTCTTCAATGTGTTTAACTGCTTGCCTTCAGGACTCAACACTGTCCACTTTCCGTTCTTTGAGTCAAAACGGAGAGCTTTATTTCGATTGAGGTAGAAGTTCCAGATTGCATAGGCAGGTCCATTGGCTTCCCGCTGACATGTCATCTCGCCCTTCAGGGTGTGAAGATCTGCCCCCCAACACACACAGGAAAGAGGTCAGCCCTGGGTCTTTACAGATGCTTTGTCCCCAGCTGGGAGCCAGCCCTCTGTACCCTCCTTTTTACCTGATCTTTCTCTGTCCTCTGAGTTTTGCCCTAGCTGCTGAGACTCTTCACTGCGACCAATTTCGAATATTTTCATAAATTCAAGCTCCCAATCCCTACAACACCCTTTCTACTTCTGCCCGGGGCCGTTCAAACTTACTGTTGGTTCTAGAATTCTTTGGTTTCATTTCAGGCAGTATCATTTTGAATTTGTCCATCAGATCTTTCAGAGTTTCTTTCTCTACACTACAGGTCTTTGTGACATTCCCCATTGTCGACAGAAACTGACAATCGCATTCGGCTTTATGACTACAGGTATAACGCAGAAATGTGCTTCCATTGACCTGGCCTCCAAATTCACACCACGTGTACTCATAAGTAGTAATGGTGAAGTTATAGCAAACAGAG